TGTTTTAATGTTGTCTCTCCGCTCAGCTGTACTGTTGCCTCTCCGCTCATATATGACACCCTCTATATGAATGCACTACTGATTGTCACACCCACTGTCCGTATTGTCCGTAGTGGTGTCTACGCCCATGTTAATACAGCGTGCAGAATCCATATTCTATTGAGGAGAGTTGAGCCAATTCACCATAGGCTCGGGAAGAGAGCAACGTGGAGGCCCACTGCCCCTTCCCCGGCCCCCATTGGGGGCGCCAGCCACTCCAACTTTTGACTGGATGTCAAGAGCGTCGCCACGAGGGGAACGAGTCGCCGGCCAGCCAAGGTAGCCAACGGCGTGTGAAGGTTGCCAGACCTCGAGGAAACTGAGATGGCACCAACGGAGGTTTTGTTAAGTAGGCGACCAAAATTCGAGCGGCAGCAACCTGGGCACCTTCACAGATAGCAGTGCCGCGTATCAGGGCGCCTTCGACGTTGAGCTGGGCGTCGATCATCAGGACGCCGGGGGAATATGACCCAATATCCCCCGTAAATATGTGCCTCGGAAGGGAGACCCAACCATAAAACTGAAAGCTCGCCGTATTTTATCCACTATTTTTCGAGCAGGTCCATAGATTTCCGTCCTCAAAAGTGCGGGGATATTCCCCAGTGTTTGAGTTGGATGGGACTATAGTGGCGTTTACACCGACAGGAGATTCCCATTGCCGGCTGTGGGAAACTACTGTCGGTGTAAACGTCATTCATATTTCCTGCGTCACCCCTGTGGGGACGCCCTTACTCCATGGTGCCGAGCTTATCAATTTGGATATCAATGGAATCAAAATCTCTTATCGATCGATGAAGAACTAAATTACCCCGACCCGGAGAGCGTCTTTGGAATCAAAGCAGTAGCACATGACGCAAGACTTCAGGCAAATAAATCCTTCTTGTCTGAAATAAAACATTTGTGTATTGATAAGCACGTTTTATAAGCAATGGTAGCGAGATTCTCCATGTATTTGGTTAAAGTGATAATTTAGTAGCAGATACTTACCGTCGCATTTCGTTTTTTTATTAATAATTTATATTGTCAGAACTAGCAACATGTCTCTTCACTCAACAATAATTACAAAAGTGAAAAAGAAATGATAAATTGCTTATATTTTGGTGAAACTAAAAATTAATTCAGCACATATTTTTTTACAGCGTTGAAGTCCAGCTCCAAAGGACAGCTGACGATCGTAGCCGAGCAGGCTGTTTGGTACTTCTTCACTACTTCTTAGAAGTACCCGTTAGTACCGATCATGTCTCACATAATAAGCTATTGGAACAAAAATATCCATGTTCTTCTAATTATTCTCCTTTCACACTTTAAATAAATACTTTTGAAATGCATTTACTAATTAGTTTCACAAAAACGGCTTGAAATTTTACAACGTCAAAATACTTATTCCAATTTCCACCATGAAACCACCACTATATTACTTGCTTACAGACCCGTGCGCACAGTGCGCGCAGTTTTATCGTGACGTCAGAGGGTGCTTCCTCAGTGGCGCCCCCTGGCGGGGAACGCGTGCAAAAAGTCCAGCTCTTAGGCATGTCCATATACCGTGGGTGTCTATATAAAAATATTGATGCGTAGTAGGTTGTTGCATTACATGTTATTGTTGCATTATTTTTGTCATTTTTTAAGATAACCTCCCATACTGTATCTCAATCTGTTGCTATTGATATTGACCTGTTTTGGTTTCTGTCTCATCAGTGCCCCAAGAGTCCCTGTACTCAGTGTAGGTAGGTACTCAAACTGTGCCTGATAGTCTGCAAGCAGTTTGATTGTGATTCCAGGACAAATCTTCGTATCGCATTTCTTCGTCGCGCAATTCTTCGTCCGCATTTCTTCGTCCGCAAATCTTCGTCGGCGCATTTATTCGTGTCGCATAACTTCGTCTCGCATTTCTTCGTAAGCGCAAATATTCGTAGCGCATTTTTTCGTATCCGCATTTCTTCGTACGCGCATTTCTTCGTCAAGCATTTTTTCGTCCACGCATTTCTTCGTCTACGCAAATCTTCGTCCGCATTTCTTCGTCCACGCAAATCTTCGTCTGCGCATATCTTTGTCCGCAAATCTTCGTCCCCGCAAATCTTCGTCCGCAAATCTTCGTCCGCATTTTTTCGTCCACGCATTTCTTCGTCTACGCAAATCTTCGTCCGCATTTCTTCGTCCACGCAAATCTTCGTTCCGGCAAATCTTCGTCCTGGCAAATCTTCGTCCGCAAATCTTCGTCCGCAAATCTTCGTCCGCAAAACTTCGTCCGCAAATCTTCGTCCGCAAATCTTCGTCCGCATTTTTCGTCCACGCATTTCTTCGTCCACGCAAATCTTCTTCCGCAAATCTTTGCGCATATTTTCGTCCGCAAACCTTTGTCTCCGCTATCTTCGTCTCCGCAAACATTCGTCCACAAATGTGGTTCAATAAAACCATGAAGAAATATCAGACCATCAAGTGATTGACGAATTTAATGCATGGAATGGATGATCGAAACTTTTGAAGTCAGGTAGATGAGGTCTGTCAGGTGAAGCTATTGTATTTGGGAGCCGAGAATTGAAACATTCCATATCATTTGTGTCCCGGACATTCTTTTTTCGCGGTCGATGAATGACAATATAATCTCGATTGTACCCTCGCCGGCATCGGCGAGGGCACCGGGTCCGGGGCACCGTTCCCCTCTTTAATTTTGGCCTTTTAACAGTAGCCCTATGGGCGTTGCATGGAAAGAATGGGACTAAAAGTCGGCAGTGCTGTGCCCCCCCCCCCCCTAATTGAAGGTGTTCCGCCGCTACTGCTCGCCGGACCTATTTGTTTTCTACATACACGCCGGCCGAGGGGGGGGGCGGGTACGACCCCCCCCCCCATCGCCGTTTCGCCACTGGTGGAACTAGCGCGTCGCGGAAAAAACGAGCGTGTGCGCCGTTACGAGACGCAGAGATTAATACCCGATTTTAAGGCCTTCTAGGTCAGGGGTCGGCTTACGGCCCGCGGGCCGGATCCGGCCAGGAGGGTGACGGTTGGATCCGGCCCGCGACCATCTGACGTCCGGCCCGCGGCTGATATCATCGACTTACGTCGTGTTCCGGCCCGCGGTTCCTTCAGAAATCGACTCCGATATAAAAGTGACTTAAATGTGCTTTGGCACAATAGTTCTTCCTTCGCACACTTCATGAGTTTATAAACACCATTTGCGGGTGTTTTTTGTCTAATTCTACTTCTAGACAAAACTTGCGCGGGCCGGACGTCAGATGGTCGCGGGCCGGATCCAACCGTCACCCTCCTGGCCGGATCCGGCCCGCGGGTTGTAAGCCGACCCCTGACCTAGAAGGCCTTAAAATCGGGTATTAACCCCTGCGTCTCGTAACGGCGCACACGCTCGTTTTTTCCGCGACGCGCTAGCTCCACCGGTGGCAAAACGGCGATGGGGGGGGGGGGTCGTACCCGCCCCCCCCCTCGGCCGGCGTGTATGTAGAAAACAAATAGGTCCGGCGAGCAGTAGCGGCGGAACACCTTCAATTAGGGGGGGGGGCACGGCACTGCCGACTTTTAGTCCCATTCTTTCCATGCAACGCCCATAGGGCTACTGTTAAAAGGCCAAAATTAAAGAGGGGAACGGTGCCCCGGTGGCCGGTGCCCTCCCCGTTCCGCCGCCTATGCCGGCGAGGGTACAGTCTGTCTTAAAAGTACCGCGCAAAGTGACGGTGGATCCATCAAGCCTGACCGAGGAAGGGCCTGCTAAATTTGAGTCACCGAAGCAATTGACACCCTCGTCCATTCCCCAGGTCAGTTGGTTCGGTGACTTTCAAATTATAGCAGGCCCTTCCTCGGTCAGGCTTGATGGATCCACCGTCACTTTGCGCGGTACTTTTAAGACAGACTGTACAAGAGATTATATTGTCATTCATCGACCGCAAAAAAAGAATGTCCGGGACACAAATGATATGGAATGTTTCAATTCTCGGCTCCCAAATACAATAGCTTCACCTGACAGGCCTCATCTACCTGACATCAAAAGTTTCGATTATCCATTCCATGCATTAAATTCGTCAATCACTTGATGGTCTGATATTTCTTCATGGTTTTATTGAACCACATTTGTGGACGAATGTTTGCGGAGACGAAGATAGCGGAGACAAAGGTTTGCGGACGAAAATATGCGCAGACAAAGATTTGCGGACGAAGATTTGCGTGGACGAAGAAATGTGTGGACGAAAAATGCGGACGAAGATTTGTGGACGAAGATTTGCGGACGAAGATTTGCGGACGAAGTTTTGCGGACGAAGATTTGCGGACGAAGATTTGCCGGGACGAAGATTTGCGTGGACGAAGAAATGCGGACGAAGATTTGCGTAGACGAAGAAATGCGTGGACGAAAAAATGCGGACGAAGATTTGCGGACGAAGATTTGCGGAGACGAAGATTTGCGGACGAAGATATGCGCAGACGAAGATTTGCGTGGACGAAGAAATGCGGACGAAGATTTGCGTAGACGAAGAAATGCGTGGACGAAAAAATGCTTGACGAAGAAATGCGCGTACGAAGAAATGCGGATACGAAAAAATGCGCTACGAATATTTGCACTTACGAAGAAATGCGAGACGAAGTTATGCGACACGAATAAATGCGCCGACGAAGATTTGCGGACGAAGAAATGCGGACGAGGAATTGCGCGACGAAGAATTGCCATACGAAGATTTGTCCGGTTACGGTTTGATTGTGGGTGTACAAACTGAAGCTGAAGCATTCAGACCGACATTGACGTCGATAAATGTTTCAATAGGTTCTTAATTACATATGACATGCGTAGTAGGTACCCTGTCAGTGTCATAGCGGTAATACCTCAACCTACCTATCTGCCTCCTGCTCAACTTCGGAATGCAGTAAAAATGTGTTAAAATATGCTCTGATATGGATTATTAATTAGTTCACCCGCGCCGGGCCCGGGGGTGTATGAACACCCCTCCCTGCGTTTTTTTGCAGATATCTAAGATACGAGCCACCGTTTTTGGCACACCTGTTCATGCATCTTTTCTTCACATGTTGTGAAAATTTCAGACCCAGGGCTCTCAAGGTCATGTCAACAGGTCACGTCAAGTGACCTCACCTCAGAAAAAGTTGCAATCCTCGACATAGCTACATCTACTACTGAATGATCACCTTGAAACTTTCAGCGATTGATAAGAGTAACAGTATGTACAAAATTTATATCTCAAAATTTTGATATTGGTGACCTAAGGTCAGGTCAATTTTGTGACCTCTCCATTACCTATAGGTAAGTCGACAGGAGAAAATTGAAATGCACCTATTTTGGATGAATGGTGTTCAAAACCCTCTTAGATATCAGTTCATGGGTTACAGGGTTAACATGACACACTGAATCGGAAAAATGCACCTGCGAGCCCTCTGTGTGCCCCTGAAGTCATCTCAGGTCATGAATGGTCACCTGCAGTTTTTTGCTATAACTTATGACAAAGACGTGCTAGAGCGATGAAAACACGTCAGATGTATTCAGCTCAACGATACGGATCGACTGATATGCAAATTGCAACATGACCCTATTCAGTCAGGTCATGACCTTGACCTGAGGTCAAATTTTCAAAATGACCTTTCAAGGTCAACAAATAGTTCATTCGACGCGTCTCGACGAGAGGAACACGATGCTGCCAAAAGTAATGTCGTGGCACTCTTGAATCAAAAGCTATTGCCGAAAAACAGTTTTCGTGAAAACTGCTTTTTTTACAGTTTTTGCCCTCTGGAGGCTAAACCGTTGACCTGAGGTCAAATCTGATGACAATACCCCGAAAGGTCTGTAAAAGGGCTATCGAATGCGCTTGTCCGCGGCGCTGTAGCTCTATTGGTTCCCGAGTTAGCCATTGGCAGTTTCCAAAATTGTTGAAATAGACTACATTTGACCTTTGATGACCTCTGGCGACCTGGCCTTTGACCTGACCCAAAAAATGACCAAGTGTTTCCGTCATTATTTTTGACGCTCTTTCGAATGCCGCTTACCGCGTGTCGCTACGTGGCCCAGGAGCCGAGTTAGACAGCAGCCCGGCGCGGAAGTCGCGGAGCACCGGCCCGGCGCGGGTTAAGAAGTGAAGCATCATTGATTTGAGGGTATCAGTAAAGCTGGCGTTACTGATGCCGACTTGAGTATAGGTGCATTACCTAGTCAGTGACTGGATGTGACTGTTAGCATCCTTGGTTCCTTACTACCAACTCAGTTCATTAGGTACTTACTGCCAGGTTCAGGGCTGCAGAGTCAATGAAGTTTTGGTGACCCAGACTCTGACTCTAACCCTGGCTTTCAAAAATCAACTCTGACTCCAGGCAGAACTGTCAACTCTGACCAACTCCAAGTCTGAATTTGACTCGGCAGATCTGCGGAGTTGACAGGTTTTTGGTGACTCTGACTCAAACTTAAGATCCAGTTTGTAAAATACACTTAGACTCTGGTCAGAATTGTTGACTCTAACCAACTCAGACTCTGCAGCCCATGCCAGGGTGCAAGGCGACAGTGTGAGAATCTGATTGAGACGTGGCAAGTTAAGGCTCGGCTGATGCCTGTTAGATGAGAGTGCATGCATGACAAGTAGGAATGCATGTCCTGTGTCAGTAATAAGTAATTGGTATGCCTGGCACATAGCGCTTCACGTTTAACTTCCACACTTGGCACCGGGCACAGCCACAATGAACTGAAGCATTGTGGGATGAGTGAGGCAGTGTTAAAAAGGTTGGATGCATTCAAAACCAAAGTCAGCAAATTCTGTCATAGAAGACCTAACCTTCACAGTGTACATCAATATCAGGAGCAGGTTCAGTCGGGCCTGATAAGCTCGGTTTATGAATGCAGTTGACTTTATTAGGTTCACAACTCACCTGCAAAATTAACCCTCACACTTATGTGGACTGTGGAGTCAAACGAATCCCCTCGGTTTTTTGTGAATGACTCGTGCAAAAAGCGGCCGATCTTGACGTAACTTTCAATACCCACGTTTTGACCAGTTTTACACCTACCCAGAAAATTCAATGACCTTGACCCTAATCAGGGCTGCGGAGTCGGAGTCGGAGTCGGTCGGAGTCGACAGTTTTGACCGGAGTCGGAGTCGGAGTCACCGAAAATCTGTCGACTCCGCAGCCCTGCCAGGTGTGCGGAGTCGGAGTCGGGAGTTGGAGTCGATCGGAGTCGACATTTATGCCCGGAGTCGGAGTTGGAGTCGGAGTTGGTTTTTGAAAGCTGGAGTCGGAGTTGGAGTCGGAGTCGCCGTAAATCCATCGACTCCGCAGCCCTGACCCTAATGACCTTTGACCTGTGATCTGTTTCTCGAGACCATGTTTGGCCGGAATCGAGACTCAGCGTATGTTGGTGTCATGTATGTCGGTGTATGTCGTATGTCGGGTGTATGTCGGTGTCATGTTGATTAAGCTTATCAAACCATATGCCAGTAAGGTAGCGGCTTTTGGGATGAAAAATGAGTGCAGCAGTAAGCCCACATATGCTCAAGGCTCAAGTGTTATGTACTCCTCCCCCTCAAATATTTAAGTCCTTGCTAGCTTGCTATTTTGTCTGTTTAAAACTATGACAAACATCCCTTGGTCTCTGCTCTACAGGTGTTCAGCCATTCCTGGTTCCCTGGAAGACTTGGTGAAGGATGGGGTCTCTTGGCTTTTGTCAGCTGGTTTTGCTGACTCTGGCGCTGAATGCAGCCGGGAACATCGCTGCACCAACTACGGCACCACCAGCGAGTGACGCGCAGCTGGAAGCGGAGCACGATATGCTGGGAATACGGCTGATCAGACACCCGGCCTGTGCCGCGGACATACACAGGATCTGTGCCGAAGACAAAAGCATCACGCTCAATGATAAAACCCCAAACATCGATGTGATTGGTTGCCTGCTCGATCAACAGGTAAGAATACCTGCACGGTGATGTTGCGTCGTTACGGTATAAATGTATCGTAAGACTTTTTATAGTAAATTACAATCATATGGACATCCAACAGCTGTTAACCTTTAAAGAATTAAGCAATGTTCATTATTAACTTAGCATTTAGATCAATACACTGAGTTTCTCAAATCACAGCGAGGGCCTTTCTGCGTGAAAAGTGTTCTAGCTGTGAAAAATAGCCAGGTGAGATGGATTGTTCGTGCCATCATTTGTCTGCACTTTACAAAGGTGCACTTCAGGATGTTTTGGCTGAGTGTCGTTTGTTTTGTTTTGTTCCAGGAGGAGCAGGAGGATGCTGGTGTGTCAAAGGAATGTCATCATGTAAGTAGATACGGCCTTTCTTGTCCGCAATGTTACCAAATTTTGCGACAGAGATGACAGGAGTCGCGTCAAGTGAGGATGCTGGCTCGGCTCGTCCCCCCCTCCCCCTCCCCCGACCTTTCGGCCCTGTGCTCTCTCCTAGTCATGTCCTTTCTCTTGGACCTGTCCTCTCTCCTGAGCCCCGGCCCTCCCGCTCCCGGCCCTCTCCGGTCGCCTGTCACTCGTGTCGTGACGCGGCGCCGTGTCACGGTGTCACGAACGTCACGTGTCCGCCGTGACACCCAGCGGACCACTCACGTGCCGATGTCCAGCGCCGCCGGCAGCCGCCGGTGGATCGAGGTGCACGCTTTCCTATGGTTTTGTTGAACACAGCGGGCAGATTGTCGCATTTTGGTCCATGATTGCATACTGTTACAGTTGCATAAGAGCATCCTATCATGGACGAAATGCTTGCATGCAATGGTAATGGTAAAATGGGCTGTTCCCTTTTGGCATTATCGTGGTCTTGGCTTAACCACGTCTGAAATAAGCATGCCTGTGTTGAATGATATAAGAGTCGTTCATAAACCCATATCCGGAAAAGGCATTCCTCTTTCCTGGACTTGCGCCGCCACGGCTATTCGATGATTTACCGTCAGTCCATTGACCGAACGGTGTCAACGGTGACCGCCGTTCGGCACAAAACTTTTTTCCCCGTAATCCGTTCATTGATATCACGGAATATATAGTCTACGACATATATGTCGTAGACTATATATTCCATGTTGATATGCTAAGCGTTTTCCAGTCGAATTATTACCGAATTATTACATGGACCTAAAGAAGAGCTGCAAGTTCGCTGGATTATTTCAAGTACATTTAAGTTATATGGTCCATGTCCTTTGGATGATTGGAAAGTGGACATGACGGCTGTCATTCAGTTTTGTTCATGTTATCTCATTTGTCCAATGTCGTGTACTTTCCTGCCTTGGGACAGCTGAAGCATGTTTTCATGTTCCATGAAACACATTTCCTGCTAAAGTAAAACGAGCAGTGAGAAATGTTTGCCCACGGTTTAGTGAGCAGTTCACAACCCCACAAGCCAATTCCGAGTGACTGCTGAATATTCGCAGAAATGCCTAGCATCTTGTGCCTGTCTGCCTGATGGTGACCCGTGCGCTACCGTCTACCCACAGGTTTTGTGGCAGCTGCGTCACAACCTAACGCGCAGCACCAGTCTGGCACGAGCAGTTGACACAGCGTGTTCCAAGGAGCAGTTTAAGAACTGTGACCGCTCCGACCCCCAGCCGGGCCACTACGTCTCCTGCGTCATGGAACACCTGGACGATGTCGAGGACGATGGTATGTGTGTTTGTGCGTCTGTGTGTTTGTGTGTGTGTGTGTTTGTGTTTTGTGGCGTGAAATTGACGCCACATGACGTTTGATAGGTGGCTGAAGTGGTATACTGTGACTGAAGGTAGCATAGAGGTTGATGGTAACATGACGTGTCAGTTTATTTTGATGATGTGAGTGAATCCCCACAAAGTGCCGGAAAACCTCACCTACAAAATATTCAATAAGTTTGCAAAGTGTTGCTGGTAATTCTCACTATGTCTGACGAAACCTGGCGTGGTCGATTCCTACCCGCAGAGTGTGCCGAGTTCCTGGAGAACCTGAGCGTAATGATTTTCTCCGACTATCGGATGATTTACAAGTTCGCGCAGGACTGCGGGCCCGACATCGACAAGCATCAGTGCGGCCGACTCGAGGATGATGACGAGGTAAAGCTGGGCCAGCTCGGGCAAGGAGACAGGCTCCGCTCGGGCTGCAGTTCTGATATGGTCGTGACTCGTGTTTCAGGTTGGCTGCGGAACCGTTAGTTAAAGGGACCCTCCCACCTTCAAAAAAGTTAATGAATTGGCATGAAAGTGATGTCGCTCGGTTCAGAAAGAGCAAAAACGAATATCTACCAAATTTCATCGAAAAATATTCACCGGTTTTCAAGATATTAGACTTTTACTTTTGTTTACTTTTTGGGATCTCCGCTGTTCCTAGCGACTTTATTTGAAAGTGCGGCATTTGTTGCGCGCAAAGCAGCATATACCACCACGTGCTACAAAACGTTTTAGTCAAACATTTAACGGACGTTCGAAAGCCTGATGACGTCATCAGATTCCCGTAATGGTTAAGAGATAGGGACCACGCTGGTCCCACCCTGCAAGTAAAGGGAAGAAATTTCTTGAACACCATAAAGCTGCGGGGGTTGCGACCAGGATAAATGGTGGTTTCTGAGCCTGGCCGCAAACTTGGCTATCTCAACTCAAAACTAATGTTAAGGTGGGAGGGTCCCTTTAATATGGGGGTAGACCTGGTTTAGATCGTTCGGTGCAGTTGACATTGACACACAATAGGCACATTGATTTCGATAGTATGAACGTGACAGCTGCCACGCTATAGATTCTACAAAGTATGAAATTAAGGAATAATTACGGCATTTATAATACATTGATGCGGGTGATGTTTCGGATCTGGGCGCCACAGAAGAGTTGATCGCCGCGGGTAGTGCCGCTGCTCACTGTGTGTCTGTTTTTCACAGAATGTCCACAGCCAGGGGAAGACAATCGAGTGTGTCTCGTCACACATGGACGAGCTGTCGGATAGCTGCAAACTCCAGGTATGGAAACACGTCCGATGGGAGAGCGGGAAACATCAGGGGCTAGGACATGACACCCGCACCACGTGAGAGCTATTGCAGAGTTTCTCAGTTTGTGGCATGTAGATGCATCGCAGGTTCATGTGTGAAACAATGTTTGAGTTTGAATTTGGTATCAAGGTCCCTTACATGTAATATCAGTAGTGCAAGTATGAAATTTTCTTCCGCGGTGGCGATGTGTGCAAAGTATTTGGGCAATGGGCATTTTGTACCGCCCTCGTGTATCGGTATTGCGTATATTTTACCCAACTGGCCGTCTCATCTTCCTGTGTGCCTGTATCGCTGAGCTGCCTAATCCGTCTGCCCCACACGTAATGCTCTTTTTCATTATTTTAGAATCCCCGTATGCTTGTTCCGTCTGTCCGCCCGTCCATATTGCGGAGTTATCCACGTTATTTACCCTGCCTTCTGCCAGGTGCTGCGCGTTGCCGAGCTGCAGGCCGAGGATTATCACATGGACCGACCGCTCTACTTTGCCTGTCGCGACGACCGGGAGCGCTTCTGCGCCAATATCGTCTCCGGAAACGGCAAGGTCTACCAGTGTCTGCTTCACCACAAAATGGAACAGGAGATGAGCAAGAGGGTAGGAACGCCTCAGCCGCTGGTGTCTTGTGACGATGCGGCGGGGATGTTCGCTAGTTGTGGTCATGCCGAACTCGTAAGACCCCGGTTGGTATCCTCCCTAATCCCTAGCGTTGATTCTCTCTGAAGTGATTACCCTTCTCTACTCAATCGTGATATCTGAGTGTGTTTGTGGAAGACGGCTGTCGCTCTTTTTGACCGTCGTCCTTCTCCGCCCGCAGTGTCGTCAGCAACTGACCCGCCGCCAAAAGATGACCGCTGTCGACTACAAGGTGGACAAGCGACTGCGAAAGGCGTGCAAACCGGAGCTGGCGGCGAGCGGCTGCCACCAGGCCGGCGGCCAGCCCTCGGACACGGCGGCCGCACACTCGGTCAAACTGTCGTTCGTGCTGCTTTGTCTGGAGGATCATCAGAAGTCAGGTACGGCGAGAGAAAGGCTGGGAGTGTGTGACAGCCCGCTGATGATTCGTGTCTCAGGTCACCCTGTTAGGGGAGTGTGACTGTGGGTCTATGTGAAGACGTGTCTCGAGGACGTTATAACTCGGTGTGTATGAGACTGTTTTGTCTTAGTCACCCTGCCACCCTGTCTCCAGCACGTTATCACACAGATTTATGTCCGATTGTTTCCTCAGGTCACACTGTCAGCGGAGAGTGTCTTCAGCAGGTGACCGACCACCGGCGCGCCCTCATGGAGGACTTCAGTATCTCTCCGGAGGTCGTCAGTAAGTAGGCTCACACTCCCTAAACCATTTCTCTCTTCTCTCTCTTGCTTTTCTGGCGTGTCCAGACCCACGGAGATATTTCGAATATAAATAAGCAAGTAAAAGTGCCCCTTGCAGCAGAAGGGGCACTACTCAGCAGTCTCAGCATTACTCACTACCCAGCCACCTGAGTTTTAAATCCACTCAGGCTCACTCTCCCAGCTGTCCGGTTGGTCAGTGTCCGAGCGCTAGGATGGGTGTGAAGTTGAACCATCTGAGGATCAACTCTGCCCCCTCTCCCCACGTGTATAATCAGTGGCCTGTGCTGATGACATCCCGCGTCTCTGCGACCACTGACCCGACTCTCTCCTTCCCTACCAGTGGCCTGTGCCGAGGACATCCCGCGTCTCTGCGACCACTGACCCGCCTCTCTCCTTCCCTACCAGTGGCCTGTGCTGAGGACATCCCGCGTCTCTGCGACCACTGACCCGCCTCTCTCCTTCCCTACCAGTGGCCTGTGCTGAGGACATCCCGCGTCTCTGCGACCACTGACCCGCCTCTCTCCTTCCCTACCAGTGGCCTGTGCTGAGGACATCCCGCGTCTCTGCGAGGAGGAGACGCAGAACAAGAACGGCAAGGTGATCCACTGTCTGATGATGCACTCCAACCCGGCCCACTTTGCCGAGGAGCAGCTGGTCTCGGCGCAGTGCCAGCGGCAGGTAAATACGGAGACAGAGACTGAGATGCATGGAGGTGATGGGGCCGCTCACGAGGATAGGTATGGGGTGAGAGGCAGCGACACCCGGGGCAAGGCTATTCCCGGGAATAGGTATAGGGGCGAGATACACCTCATGGACAGAGGCATCGACTGTATGGAGAGCATGTCGGAAATTATCAAATATGTTATTTGTTTTACCAGTTATGATATTTCAAACTGGTTATTAACATAATAGTTTTAGTCAGATATATGCAGAAGCTAGAGTGCGTACTGAGTACGATGATACACCAATGACCAAGTCATCGATTGTTTCAAGGTCCTCAGCTCAGTATCTGTTCCTGTGGAGGCGCGATGAGCGTTCAGGTTCCTTCACCTCCCCATCTGCCGTATACAGGCCCAGTGGGTGTGACGCCCCCGCCGTTCCGCTCAGGTGGAGGACCTGCTGACGCCCCCCCCCCCCGCCATTCCGCTCAGGTGGAGGACCAGCTGACAGTGACGCCCCCCCCCCGCCATTCCGCTCAGCTGGAGGACCTACTGACAGTGACGCCCCCCCCCCCCCCGCCGTTCCGCTCAGGTGGAGGACCTGCTGAGAGTGACGCCCCCTCGCCATTCCGCTCAGGTGGAGGACCTGCTGACAGTGACGCCCCCCCCCCCCCGCCATTCCGCTCAGCTGGAGGACCTGCTGACAATGACGCCCCCCCCCTCGCCGTTCCGCTCAGGTGGATGACCTACTGACAGTGACGCCCCCCGCCATTCCGCTCAGGTGGATGACCAGCTGAGAGTGAAGCCCCCCCCGCCATTCCGCTCAGGTGGATGACCAGCTGAGAGTGAAGCCCCCCCCCCCCGCCATTCCGCTCAGGTGGAGGACCTACTGACAATGACGCCCCCCCTCGCCGTTCCGCTCAGGTGGATGACCTACTGACGGTGACGCCCCCTTCCCCCCCCGCCGTTCCGCTCAGGTGGAGGACCAGCTGAGAGTGACGCCCCCCCGCCATTCCGCTCAGCTGGAGGACCTGCTGACAATGACGCCCCCCGCCATTCCGCTCAGGTGGAGGACCTGCTGACGCCCCCCCCCCCGCCATTCCGCTCAGGTGGAGGACCAGCTGACAGTGACGCCCCCCCCCCCCCCGCCATTCCGCTCAGCTGGAGGACCTGCTGACAATGACGCCCCCCCCCCCTCGCCGTTCCGCTCAGGTGGATGACCTACTGACAGTGACGCCCCCCGCCATTCCGCTCAGGTGGATGACCAGCTGAGAGTGAAGCCCCCCCCCCCGCCATTCCGCTCAGGTGGATGACCAGCTGAGAGTGAAGCCCCCCCCCCCGCCGTTCCGCTGAGGTGGAGGACCTGCTGACAGTGAGGCCCCCCCCCCCCACCATTCCGCTCAGGTGGAGGACCTGCTGACGGTAGTCGAGGTGGCCGACCAGTGGAACGTGGACCCTGTACTACGCCAGGCCTGCTCGCCAGTCGCCAGAGAGGCGTGCGCGGACGCCGATCCCGGAGAGTGAGTGGGGCTGACGGGACGGACGGAGCGGAGACACGGGGTGGGATCGAGAGGAGTGGCCGGCACTGTCTGCAGACTGGAACCGAGGAGAAGGGACTGTTATGTGGGAATGGGTGCATTATTTGTGGTTTCCTTGATCGATGAAGTACCAGTCACGTCCTGACATGCTTGGCCCCTTCAGTGTTCTCTGACTCCTAATTTCATGAGTTGTCGAAAGTCTTACCAGATCTGACGTCCTATGTCCCGACGTGTTCCGTTCAGGATGCTGATTGCTGACGCGATCTGACCTGTGCCTCTAACGTGTTCCGATAAGGATGCTGACCCTATCTGACCCCTGACCTATCATGCCGGTCAGGATGTTGTCCTGTCTGGCCGAGGCGGTCGGCACGGAGGCGATGACGCCCGCCTGCGAGCAGGTGCTGCTGCAGATTCAGTTCTTCATGTCCAGGGACTTCAAGCTTGACCCGCAGCTCTACAAGGTAGGCGGTCGTGGCACGGTCCCGCCTTTCAATTCGTGCACGGGCTGGGGCCTGGTATGCCGACGAATTTTCATGAAATACTGGATTTTGCGGCTGGGCAGCAGGGGCGTAGGATCCTATACAGTTGGGGGGGGCTTCAGCCCCCCCAACCTGCTGGTCAGCCCCCCCAACTTGCCAGGCAGCCCCCCCCCCCCAACATTATACAATATGGACAAATTAAAGAAAGCTCAATTTGGCAAAGTTACAATTTTGGGTAGTAGTAAAGCAGGCGTCACACTTCTTTTTGCAACCAAGGAGATGCGCTGTAGGTTAGGCTGTAGGGTATAGGTTTTAGGTTTTAGGTGGTAGATTTTAGGTTGTAGGTTGCATGTTTTTGGTTGTAGGTTGTAGGTGAGTTAAGGTTAGGTTTGGTTAGGTTTTGTTTGGTTTGGTCCGATTAGAAAGCATCTCTGGAGTCTCGGTAAAGCGCCTCTCTGCTTTACGACTAACTACCCAATTTTGGCCTTAAAACTAACTGGGGGCTTTGAAAATGTGCATTACAATGGAGGGAGTAAATTTAATTTATAAAATGACTTTCGAGTGATTGGAAAGAACATACTAGCAAAACAAAACCAGGAGGGTACACATAAAAATCAACTGTGGTTTTAGCAAGCCTGAAATAATCAATTGGTCAGCATGTTACACCAGTACAGCAGGCGTCACCAAGCAACTTCGGTTGCCGTTGCGGTATTTTACAAGAACGGTTATCTCACCTCCCGAACGTTGTCACACCGTTTTTGTAACAAGACTATAAATAGTAAAATAGAGGTGAAATCAAGGCCGGTGAAATATCGTCAGCTGATTATGTTTATGATGATGTCAAATCTTTAAAATGATAACGTCATAATGAATAAAAATAAACTGGCATTATCTTAAAAGGATTTGGTGAAAGAAATTTCACGTTCACTAACTTTTAAATGTTTTTTCATCTTTTTTTTTCTAAGATATCTTTTATATCTCGCCTTCAGAAGAAGGCCAAATCCTTTTTACGGAATTTGACGCCATCGCAGGCATAATCAGCTGACGATACAGCACAAAACCTTTGGATGTTACTATATACGTGCCTTCGGCACCCGGATAATCAGGGAAAATTATCCGGCATCAGCGATAATTATCGGGATTACGTTCGGTATCGCGGTAATGAGACATGTTGAAGATAGGCACCCACCAATAATTTTCCGGCCGAGAATATCCAAACTATATTTTCCGAATACCGAACGCACGCTAAAGCGGCGCAGAAAGCAGAAAAACACAACAAAACAAAGGCGCCACACTTAACAGCTTCGTTCCGTTTGTTTAGGGATGGGTGCAAGGCCATGTGGGTGGAACTCGGACGATAGGACGAACGATGAGGACAATTGTTCAGGGACGTACCCAAGATGGACGGGGTGCCCTCCCCCCCTCGGGGTTTTCAGGAGGCCCCCGTGGGCCGAAGGCCACGGGGCCAAAATCACGTCGGAGGCGAAAGAAATTCAAGGGAATCCCAAAAATCACGTCAGGATATTCAGGGCCTCTGACCAGCCTGACAGCTAGGGTCCTTCTTACTTCCTGGGGCCTCCTGTGAATAACTGCTAGTGTCTGTGTCTGACCGCTAGGGCCCCTCTGACTCCTCAGTAGAGAGGAGGCCCTCTGTAAGAGGAGAGGAGGCCCCTCTGTAGAGAGGAGGCCCCTTTAGAGAGGAGGCCCTCTGTAGAAAGGAGGCCCTCTGTAGAGAAGAGACCATCTGTAGAAAGAAGGCCCTGTGTAGAGAGGAGGCCCTCTGTAGAAAGGAGACCGCCTGAAAGCAGAAGGCCCTCTGAAGAGAGGAGGCCCGCTGTAGAGAGGAGGCCCTCTGAAGAGAGGATGCCGTCTGTAGAGAGGACTCCCTCAGTAGAGAGGAGGCCGGAGGCCCTTTGCAGAGAGGAGGTCCTCTGAAGAAAGGGTGCCCTCTGAAAGAGATAGACCCTCAGTAGAAAGGAAGTCCTCTGTAGAGAGGAGGCCTTCTGTAGTTGATAGGCCCTGTGAAAAGAGGAGGCCCACAGTAGAGAGGAGGCCCTCTGTGTTTTGATTTTTTTTTTGCAAATTTGTGTACGTACAGGTCAATACGAGATCGTGACTGTAATTACACCAACCAACCGTGTCAAATTGAATCGGAATTCATATGTGTACTATGAAGTGTGAAGGAACTCCGGCTTGTACTACCATACTAAAAGAGTTGTAAAATTTGTGATTTGGAGCAGTGTTTTGACAAATGCTTTTTGCAAATTTTCTCGGCGCTCCGCGCCTCCGATTCATGCACCAATCAATAAGAAAGGTCGTGACTGTAATAACACCAACCGTGTCAAATTGAATCAAAATTCCCAAAGTGTATAGTCGACTACAGAATGATCCACTCCTCAGAAGCTATCAGTTGACTGGAGCGCTAGTTGTGCCCGGTTTATCACGCAATTAAGCGCCTGTCGATTGTGAGCATTAGGACAAAGTTATAATTTGTGAACTCAGCCCGTGTGATGCGGCACAGCCTACCACTCCAGGCAAATATTTGCCTGTGAAAAGTGGAACATCATTCATAAAAACGTTTTTTTTTTTTTTTGCAAATTTTCGCAGCGCTTCGCGCCGCCGGTTCGTTAACAGGTCAATAAGAGAGATCGCTACTGTATGCTACTAATGCATTAGGCTAAAAGTGCGGTAACAATATCAACTTCTGTGTTTTTAAGTCGGTCGATACGCCCGCCCCCCCCCCCCCCCCCAAGTAAGAAATCCGTGGCGACGCACTTGCATAGGTGGATTTAACTAAAACTACTGAGCCGAGTAACTTGTAACGATAAAGCTTCATCTTATAGAAACGACGAAGACGAAATGCCTTTTGATCTCGACATACTCGCTCCCCTCCCCCGGTCGTCAGAATTCATCCATCAGACCCGTCATGTCGGCCGACCTGTTACCCCCCCCCCCCCACAAAAACGTTCGCCTAGATCCTCCCTTGCCCTCTGTAGAGATGAGGCGCCCTGTAGAGAGGAAGCCCCCACCCCCCGGATCCTCCGCCCCCCCCCCCTGGCCAAATCCTAGGTACGTGCCTGCAATTGTTTCGTGCATTTTGGGAGTATTCGTGTGGCTACACGACCTACAGCTTTAAAAACAAATTATGCTTCCAATGATATGCAGAATGCGGGGGTTTTGCGAAATACTACAACAGAAATTGTTCTGTGACTGTCCTGTTTTACCGATCACGATCCGCCTACTTTGTCGATACCGCTATCGTGGCCCTAGAAGTAGTCGAGGAGGTCCCTGAAACAGCCAAAAGGGAGCCATTTAACAGTCTACAATCTTTACACAAAAACTTGACCCTTCCGAAATGAAGTGGGTGATCGGTGAAAAATGAGTACCTAGATTTTAGGAAATTGCAGAGGTACCTCCAAGGAACCCCTAAAACAGTTTGCCAAACTAGGGGATAGGAATCTAAATACTGAATCAATCAAGAAATTGAATCTCTCATCAGCCTTAAGTATAAGAAGAGCATACATATACCGTTTTAGTGGCATCACTTTGCATTTGAAAAGAGCGGGAACATACACTGCATAAATGTGGTTGCAAAACGTTGAGCCGGAATATAAACCTACGCCTTATTTTATAAGCCTGAACTTGGATCCAGGGGGAGAGAATAAGTCATATCACTCAAGTAATAGACCTGCTTTTCACCACCATGGTCCACGCTCCCTCCCCCCCCCCCCGGTCAACACCTTTTCCACTGCTGGTTTTTTTCCTCCCCCCCCCCCGCTCAGCACCTTTCGTCGCCGCCCCACCGGCGCGGCGTCCGGGGTTCAGCCCCCCCAACCTATTTTGCGATCCTACACCCCTGCTGGGCAGCTTGAGATGCATACATTTCCAAACAAGACGGATGTGATAAACTTACTGTTTGTGGAAGTGACTTCAACAGATCGCAATAGAAAAAAAAATCTTTTTTTCTTTTGCTATAATTTTTCGTGCTAAGATACCGGCTATCAGTCACCTCAGGCGCAACATGAGACATGTATCTGCGTGGTGGCTCTGCGCCATCATACCCATCCGTGTCAGTGTCAGTTTGTCGCTCGTAGTGTCAATCTGTGTCTGCCTCTGCCCCCGTGTCACACGCCCCCCCCCCCCCCCGTGTGTCGTCAGGCGTGTCACGAGGACGCGCGGACACTGTGCGCGGCGCCCGAACACTGGTGGCAGCCGGAGACGGACAGGGGCGGCGTGGACCGCGACCCGAACGTGCTACCCTGTCTCTATCGCAACATCTACCACGCCGACGAGACGCAGGGCAAGGTACGGTGGCAGTGAGGGAGGCGGGCGGGCTAACCCTGGCGGAGGTAACAACTGACCGGTTGCGATGAAAGTACCGTCCGACTGACCCGCGGGAGGTAGTGTCAGATAAATCCTCTTGCTACTCTGCCTGTGAGCTTTCTGTCCCACTTGTGACCTCTCTGACCCTCCTATGTATGTATGTATTGACTTCATGACAAACCATTCCATATACAAATAATGGGTTTTCTTGGCGTCGAGTCCTAAAAGTAAAACACGGACGATGGGAAAGCTCTAAAATGCACACACGAACATCCATACCACAACCCACCGCGCATCCCCTGCACAGTACACATCACACATTGCAAGTTCAACTATCTGTATGACCGACCTCGACCTGTGACCTCTGACCGCTATATGACCTCTCTGTCCCACCTGTAACCTCTCTGACCCTTATGTGACCTCTTTGACTTAGCTATGCTTCCTGCAGCCCATCGCTGACCTCTCCAACCCGTCAAACCTGTCTGACCCGGCTGTGGCCTTTCTGGCTCTGCTCGCTATAGCTCGTCTCTAACCCCCCTGACCGGCCACCTGTCCCCAGGTGTCCCCCGGGTGTCGGGCCGCCGTCCGCCGCGTCATGAAAAACCGGGCCGATCAGGTGGATCTGCACCCGCGCATACAGTCCGTCTGTATGACCGACCTGGCCAAACTGTGCTCCGAGCACTCTCAGCGTGGACACGAGATACGCTGCCTGCAGGATAACTACTTCACGTGAGTGCAGGCGGGCGGCGCGGGCTGAGAGCCGGGGAGTCGGGTTTATACGGGCCGGCCAGAGGGTATGGAAAATGTTGAATCAGTATCATGTCTTCGTGTCCTCCTATCTGGCTATCGGACTTGTCTCAGCTTAGCAATATGCTCTCGTCCGCAGGCTTCCGGCCCAATGCCAGTTTATAACATGACCCTCCCCTTCAGCTAATCGGCCCAACAACAGCAGCTAATGACATGCTTCTCTGCCCTCAGGCTATCGCCCCAGTGTCATAAGGTCATCAAGTCGGTGACGGAGGACGAGGCACGGTACATCGAGCTGAACCCCGAGGTGGCCAAGGCCTGCAAACAAATCATCAAACAGAACTGCATGGTGAGTATGTCTGCGGTCTCGTCTTCAGTTCGTAGCTCGTCCTGACGACAGTAGACGCCGGACTGTTTTTTTAAAGGTAAGTTACGATGGGATTGCGGACTGAATTTATTTTTAGGCTGCCGTGTTGGTTTTATGTGCGCATAGATGTACGATAACCATACTATCGTGTCAGAGGATTCTTTGGCCACTTCGTATTTATGCCACCGTGACTCGTAAGTATCCGCTGTTCAAAAAACCACGGTGACTATCAAAAAACAATGCCAGTTTTTGGGATTGTGCCCCAACAAATTATTTTATAGTAGCATTGTTGCACTTGGAAGTTGGAACACAGTAACGGTCAACAGACCAGGCTACTATTGACTTTTATTGACCCAGTCCGTATCCGATTGTGAAGTCCGACACTGAAAGCTGAGCTGACCTGACCTGAGACTGCCCTAACCGCCCCTCCGCCCCTCAGAAACACGTCGAGGCCGGTGGTGACCTGAAACTGACCTGACCAGTGACCAACCCATCCCCCCCCCCCCCCCCAGAAACACGTCGAGGCCGGTGGTGACGGCGTCATGGAGTGTCTGATCCGCCACAAGAGCGATCGGGACGTGCGTCAGGCGAGCAAGTGCTGGGCTGCCATCAACCACTTTCAGATTATCAGCATGGAGGACTACAGCTTCAGCTTCCGCTTCAAGCAGAACTGTCAGGAGGATGTGGCCATACACTGCCGCAATGCCGAGAAAAAGTAGGAGGGGGTGGGGCTGTGGGATGGGGTTTGCTCATTCGATGTGGTGTGAGTAGGCGTGAGCGCTCCGTCTAGCTTATATGAGTGTTTAAGTGTCCGGCCACTGTCCATATTGTTTTGCTTTGTGATTTGCGGTAGGTATGCATTTCTGTCTGTCGGGACTGTCAGTGACGTGACTGATCAAACTCCCCAGATCGGACGTTTTACAATATCCTCTGAACGACTTTGATAGTGTACCTGATTGTCCACGCTGAACGTTACTAACGAATAGTGTTTGTCTACTTTAAACAACCTGCGGTTATTCATTGAGTGTGAATTTGCTTCCCAGGGCGGATGTCATTCACTGTTTGAGCGGTATTATGCTGAATAACACTCTGGCTGACAAGCCACAGCAAATCTCCGAAAAGTGCCGACGTCAGGTGAGCCGGACGAAGACTTGACACTTCCAGTTGGATATTATCTGGGCAGTAGATTTTGACGCCATATCCCGTCTATCTATGGAGAGCGTTTTCTGCTATTCTTTATCCTTGAATACAGCTCTTTGTCTTAAATTTAGTGAAAGAAAATAAAGTGAAAGTGTGAGAATACAGGTTACTGAGTTTTTTTTTCGTACCAGACGCCGCGGTCTCGTCGGTGCTCGGAGACGGTGCGGAGTGCGGACCCGGTCCGTCCGTCCCTCCTCTGACCGGGGACGAAGGGGGTGGGTCAGTGCCGCTGCCACTGGTCCACAAACTATAGCTTGACGACCCTCTCCTCCCCACCCGTTCTGACCATTACACGGTTTCCCCGCCACAGGTGCAGCTCCAGCTGCGGGAAAGGGAGGAGAACGAGGACCTCGACCCGCGCCTGAACGCCCAGTGTGGCGCCGATATACACAAGTACTGCAAGGAGGAGTCAGAGACCAAGGGATCGGGAAAGGTGAGCATCCGCGGCACAGTGCTGAGCTGCTGAGTGTTTGATGTGAATTGCAAGACTCACATGTATCGTCTGCGTCCCCCTCCAGAGCCGACTGGCTGCGTCATAGGCCGGAAGGAGACAATAACATGGTGCGCTCCGTCGGTCGTGTGTCCTCACCAGTATGACGTCAGACGGGCCGCGCCGACCATGTGACGTCATACACCGTGTGTCGTCAGGTGCTCGAGTGTCTGCGGGAGCACGTGAACGACCTCTCCGCGCCGTGCTCCAAGCTGCTGTTCCGGCGCCAGCAGCAGAGTCTCATCCTGCCCAAGGCCGACTACTTTCTGTTCAGCGCCTGCAAGGGCATGATACTGAAATACTGCGCCTCGCCAGACGTGAACACGGGCGCGGAGGTGCTGGACTGTCTCAAGGTGCGTGCGCCGGGGCGAGCGGCGGGTGGGAGCCGCCCGCTACCCTGGGCTAGCGAGTTACCAGCAGTGTGGGATAATTTGTGTGACATTAAAGTCTGAATTGTATCTGAAGGACCAGTGCATGCAGGTTACGCAGCAGAATTACTTGAAATAATTGAGATATGGTGCTCAGCTGTTAAAGGTTCGCTGTATATTGATAACATTTAACTGATATATTTTTTATTATTCGCAAGCGCTGTCAGTACCCTCCTGTGTTTGTTGCTCTAAATTTTTGCTTCGGCCTCTCTAACCGGGCAGATGCCTTTGTCCGCCAGGGGCCGACACAGGAAGCCTCGTTCGACCCCACCTGCGGTAAGGTAGTGTCTCGCCGGCTGGCCGAGCAGAAGCGCGACTACCGACTGCACCCGGCGCTGCGCAGCGCGTGCATGGCCGACGCCGAGCGACACTGCGCCTCCGAGCTGGCCAAGGTGCGCTCGGGCGGTCTGCCCGCCCAGGGGCGCGTCACCGCCTGCCTGGCCGACGCGTTCCGTCTGGGGCAGCTGACGGACCGCTGCGGCAGACAGTTGGACCAGGTGCTGCGGGAGGCGGCGCGAGACGTCCGTCAGGACCCGCTGCTGGGCCGCGACTGCCGCAACGAGATCACCCAGCTGTGCGCCGACGAGCCGCCCGAAACTGTCGGCGAGTGCCTGCGGCTCAAATTGGCCGACGGCCAGCCCATGAGTGATGCGTGCGCCCAGCGCGTGGCGCGTATCGTCGAGGATGTGAACGTGGACGTGCACACGGACCCGCAGCTGAGCGCCGCCTGCGCGCTGGACCTGCAGAAACACTGCAGGGACGTGCCGGCCGGCCATGGCGCCCAGCTCACCTGTCTGATGGAGTTGAAAGAGCCGACCGCCCGCTGCGCCGACATGATCGCTCTCAGGATGAAGATGATTAAGGCGGCGATTAAGGTGAGTCTGGGATTCCGCGGCCGGTTGGCGAGGCTGTTGGGTGGTGCTGGTGGGTAATGAATTAGTGAGCTCAGAGATCTACTGCTGCTGGTGGCTGTTTCAGCACTGGGTGCTTTGTTTTGATAAAGGCTAGCTTAATACTTTTAGGAACTTGATGGACCTCCATGATACCGCTTTTTTCGCTTTGTTTCATGGTAAACTATCGTCTTGTTTGACTCTCCGCGCCCGCCCGCCCGCCCCCAGGTGCGGCCTGCCGAGACAGTCCAGGACCTGTACGTGACGGTGAGAGACTCGCCCAGCCGAGACTACTTCGTCATACTGGCCTTCGGCATCCTAATCGTCATGTTCTTCGGCGGCCTCTGCTGCGGGCGCGCCACCAAGCGTGCCAAATACATCCAGAAAATGAAGTAATTGTTGGCGACTTCAGTGATAAATGAATATAAATATCGTGAGGCATAAAGCATATTCTATCAGCGCCGGGATCCAAGTGCACAAACTGTTGCAGCGGTCGGCGGAAGTGACTGTGAGTGTGCGGTGGCTGTATCTGTGTGCGCGCGTGTTGGTGGCTGTTTGGGTGCGTGGTGATCTCTTATTTTACTGAGGTGGCTTGGGTCTGCAGTAGGTGAGGCGTGAGTTCCGTTTACAGAGGCTGAGCTCGCTCTGTCTCCTCCTGCCCTGCTCTTGTGCGAGTGTGAGTGTGCGGGAGTGGAGGCTGGTGTCACGAACTATGTCACGAGATTCGTCAGTGTGACTGACGTTGACGGTGACGGACGAGACTGGCGGATCAAACGGTTTGCGCATCGACCTTTGTGCCTCAGCGGGCGGGCGGGCCGGCGGCGCCCCGGCCGGGAGCACCACCGCTGCTTCTGTGCCGGGGTGAGAGCACGGATCAAAGCAGAAGCTACCGAGGCGCCAGCTGAGTCCGCATTCAGCACGACGCAATGCACGTGTGACACGTGTGATGACACGTGGCGAGGTGCGCACGTGTTGGCCCGTGTGGCGTGCGGTGCGTTATCATTCGGACTGCGACTGGCCCCGTTTTCTGAGGGGCCGAGTGGTTGGGGGCGGTGGCCACTGGTCGGTGGCTGAGGCTCACGGCCCAATGGGATGGTATCCCGGCCCGCGGTCCGGCACGGGACAGGTGAACGGTTTGAGTTGATGGCGTCAGCGGCGGAGTGGCGGACGCTCCACGACCGGCCGCTGCTTTGTTACGGTATAAAATATATGACGCCAGTGGCATTAAATCCGGTCATTGGTTTGCCTGTGGGCATGCATAACAGATGACTCTTACTACGGTTTTCTGAAAACTGTGCAAATCAATACCAGAGAAGTACATTATTTCCCTGCCATTCACGTTCCTGGCTAAACACACTGAAATATGAACGTAACACCCATCGACGGCCCACCTTAGCGGTGGACCTGGCTACCCCTCGACCCCACGGCGGTCCGCTTCCCTCCTACCGGCGGGTTACGGTAGCGTATGGACAGAAAGAAGGGGTGGGGTGAGTGCAATTCCGTTTGGCGCACGCTATCGACCGCCTGTATTATATCGTCCACCGTGCCGTCCCTGTCGTGCCGGTGCGCCGCTGCATCAACATTTAACGAGCGGCGCATTGATTAAACATCACTGTCGGCCAGCCGACCCCAGCCGTCCCATAGTGAGGGCGGCTGACAGGACTCGATCCAGCGCGACGAATGACATGCTGGATAACTTGGAAGGTGCTACCTAACAGGTTTCTCCATTTCAGCTTATTTTTTATTCAAAATTGAAATGCCCGAAAATTGGCGTAGAACAATATACGAACATTCCTTACCATACCACTAGTCATGTCTGCATACACGAACACGGACACGACTTCACACGCTCGTAAGGTCGCCAGAGAACGGGTGACCTCATCTCGCCGGGTAATCCGTTGCTGATTTCCCTGGAGTCAGCGACCGGCTACCGTGGCGGGGCGACCGTCTGATACCCATGGTCCGACACCCATGCGGCGGGCGGAGAGACCTGTCCAGAAAGCATGGCTGGACGGTCCAGTACCCAAGATAAGAGGGGGGGGGGTGACTGGTATCTTCATGGTAACGGAGTCGGACCCAAGGCCATATAACCAATGGACCAGCGTGCGCCGGTCGCAGATTTCTGGTCAATCGTGGAGGCTTCCATCAGCAGCTGGTGACTGTCGACTACACTCAGTTACAGTTTATCTCCGGTTATGCACTCATCGGCTGATGCTTTGACTCAGTCTCGGTCTAAAACGGAATGACTTCTAGACACCAAGACGCGGGTGCTCCATGAACAGCTTTGCATAAAACTATAAAATAACAATAAACCATAAACATAACGGGAGGTAACGACAGTCCCTGGTCGTAACGTGCTCGGTGCTTGACCACCCACCCGTGCCGGCTTCCCTCAAATAACTGCAGGACTTACCCTGTTCTCAACCGTCTGGGCGTACCGACCCTTCGTGACACCTTCAGAAGAGGTCGCAATGGAAGAGCCTAGGAGCCCCCCCCCCCCCCCCCCGACGCCGGTGCTGAATAAATGTGCGGACAGTCGGGAGATCGAACAGCGACGTTGGAGTGAGGAAGACGTGGGTTCTGCCAGTGACATTCCCATTACAGTGATGATTACTCGATTGAGTTCTGGAGAGCACGGACCGGACTGCATGAGTCATTGGCGTCCTACAAAGAAAGTGATCAGACCTGCGAGTTCCATTGCGCCATCAGAATAAAAGACAAATGAACTAAGTTCAGAAAGAAGCGAATTGTTGGTCGTCACCCCGCGTAGCGTTGCGTCGCTATTGCTCGTGGATAGGATTCATCACCACATCCGCCAAAGCCCAAACGAGCATGTCTGTCACTTCCCGATCCGAGCCAACAGAGCGGGGTAATCGCACACAGTATATTGCTGAAGGGGCGTGAAACGGGGTACGATGAGCGTCACTCCTACAGGTTTGACTCTCGGGTCAACCGCAGAAGTGGCCGAACATGACCGCACAATTGTCAGCGACACACACAGGGACCGTGAAGAAGCGTCGACAAAGTGAACGTGCTCTTCACATTGATAAAGAGATGTGGGCGCCTCCAATACGACCTGGAATAGGCAGGCAGTAGACCAGACGCATTCAACACACAATAGTTTACTCTGAGAATTGGGGTGCAAGCAAAAAGGGGGCCGCGTCAACGAATCCAGCACGCAGTAATTAATCCGCAGTAGAAATACGCGACGCAACGACAAACCACGACAAACTGAGTAAACACAGTCACATAATAAGCTCTCCCACACATACTGTAGCAGCAACAGAACTACCCTTCGGCCGACTGAAATACACACTCTGAGACCAAAAATACGCCTCCAGAAATCCATCGCACTCGCCAGAGAGCGCGCCGAGGAACATCCGAGCGCAAAGACACGCCACAGGCGCACGTCACGTGATCAAGACATAGACGTGCGGTGGTTCGCGCGCTGACTGTGCTTCTAGCCAACGTCCCAAGACATTAGCGGTCCATCGGCAACACTACCCATCTGATCTCCAGCCATTATCACGCAGTCATGAATGAAAAACTGAATTTGGCAGACGTAACGGCGAAAAATAACCTGACCAATAGCACGAGAGGTGTGCCGAGTGCTCACGAATCGTGGTTATGGATCTTTGCGCCACAGAGAAGTGGCGTGTTTAAATTTGGGGTACCATGAGCCACGTCATGCGGAAAAGTCACGGTATCGCACCGGTAGCAGCAGTTGCGGCTTGGCAGGCCCATGTGTGCAGTGCTGGAAATGAGGCCGCTTTCTGGTCCCGGCGTTTTATTCTCCGGGTGAGTTAGCCCCGTCTAGCGCTTAGCCTTTCGGGACCCTCTCAGAGCCGCGGTTGTTTTCGCCGCTCGGCCCATTCGAGATGCAAAGTTGATAGTCGCACGAAGTTTATTTAGGACCTCTGAATATCAGACTTCGAAACTAATCGATTCTACAAAACATTTTTCTTTCATCTATATGCATACATTTAACAGTAACTCCAGACTAGACTGGTTTGCCTGGCTCTAAATAAGCTTCGTGTGACTATGAACTTTGCATCTCGACGGGGCGAGCGGCGAAAACAACCGCGACCCTGAGTGGGTCCCGAAAGGCTAAACGCTGGACGGGATTAACCCGCGAGGAGAATAAAACGCCGGGACCAGAAAGCGGCCTCGTTTCCAGCACTGTGACAGATGACAGCTGGCAGTGTGACGTAATAGTGACGTCAGGCACACCTTGCCATCACCAGAGGGCGTTACTTGTCTCCATCATCGACAGGTTGTGCCTGAGTCATCACATCTGCAACACTCTTCTCGAGCTCGTCGATGCGGTCACCCATCTCGTCGATCCTGCTGATGATGTTGTCCGACATGGTCTGGAAGCGCTGCTGCATGTTCTCCAGCAGGCTCTGCACCTGCCCCAGAGACAGTGACAGGTCACAATTTTCTTAATTTTGCCAATAAAAGAATTAGACACAACCTAACATCTAATCGGTCATTAACATGTTTGCTCATATCCTCATGCTTATTTGATTTAAACTTGCTCTGCCATGTCTGAAACACTACTGGATACCTGATGTACAGGGTGTCCCATAATTACCCGGACATTGTTAATTAGCGTATAAAATAAGGCAAACATGATTGCGCTTTTTTCTTTTTACCGTCCTATATAGTCAACTAGGGTGGCTGTGACATAGCACATGCAATAGATACGCTTGCTGCAAGATCAGCCGACAATGATGGAAAATGCCAGCCATTGCTGGTCTCAGTTGTTTTACGGGTCTCCCGGAACTGGGTGTAGGCCTGTTTTCTTTGACCTCTTGCCGGAGGATTACACGATCATATAAGATAAACTTGACATCAAAGTGTTCCCAGGCCATAAGGTAATATCCTCCAAAACAAAAATTTCTGCCTACGCCACTTTTGCTGCGTTTTTTTTACATCTGGAGTGGAGAAGCTCCATGTCTGAACATTGCGCAACCTTTGGCTTCCAGCAGATTTGGTTTCCAAAACAAACCCGTTCCTGGCCATTTGGTTCACGGCATCCAGTTTTCGCACTGGTAGAATATTACCGCAGTAGTACCCTGTGCTAACGGTTGTCTTTGGGCCATCATATCAAGCCCAATGAGTGCACGGAGGCTCAAAATGTCATACAATTTTATTTTCGACGGGTGCCTGGCCGTCTCTGCTGTTGGGGCGTTGTAGCCATCTGACGTTCACACAAACCTTTTTCGGGCGGTTCAAATGACATAATACCTTCGTTAGACCACAAAGTGTGCCTCAATATACTGTTTTGTTGTATATGTTATGTTTTTGGGATGAATTGTAGTGATTTGCGCTGCTTTTCCCGTAGTTTTCGCATATTTGTCTGGCGAAGGACCCCAAATTCCAAAATTTTGTCGAAGATAGTGGTGCAAAGTAGACTGATGTTTTGTAGATAATCCTGATCTATTGTTTAGCTAGTTTTTAGCTAGATCGGTGACGTTTGCTGAGTCAAGACCAAGGAGACAGGCTTTCAGTGCCCGGGTGGTCAATGACTGGAACGGCCTGCCCATGTCAGTTGTTGGCGCCGGCTCTGTTGAGCAGTTCAAATCCGAACTCGACGCCCACTGGGCAAACTTCAGGTACCTGGTACCTGACTGGAGATAGTCAAGTCTCAAAGGATTCGAGCTCGATGAGAACGGTTCCCTACAGGCCAAGTGGCCTTTAAAATTCTGATCAAATTAAGGTAAGGTAAGGTAAGGTAAGGTTTGTTGTCTATGACAAGCAACCACTTGTTTGACAACTGGTGCATGGCCCTTTTTGGCCGAGCCCAAGCTTGTCAATCAGGTTTATCTCTTGCTCTCTCTGGCTTCGTTAGCTGATATAATTGAGCTTTGCTCAATCCTAACTGCTTGCAGATGAGCTGCTGAAGCTCTCCAGCAAAAACCATGCCGAAAGTCCGTTTACAAAGTTGAGAGCGGGAGTTGATTCACCATGGTTGCCTATTAGTGGCTTAAGCTGAAAATGGAAAAGGACTACTCTTACTTGACTCTGGATAATAATTGATTCGAGTCGTTACCGGCCACCAAAAACACACAGCCCCCAATCTCGATAGCTAAGGGATATCTTGTATGATGCTTGTATATCATTAGAAGCGAGCGCAGTCGTACTTTTAGCCAGAAAATAAATGTCCGGGTAATTCTGGGACACCCTGTATTTAAGGGGCTCTATTCAAAAATACCCATGGGATATCTTTTGCTAGGGTATTTTTAAGGTAATTTGAGCTCCCAGTTCTTTTTCATTGTGTCACAGTGTTATTTCTATCACAATACTTTATCACCATTATCATTATCTTTCAGGTCTGGCTGCACTACGTGTGACCGTCCAGGAAATTACGTGTGTGATCTGCAGATCCTTGATTGCGAGACTCCCTTGACATCGGTTTCTACGGTTTCCCAGAAATATCAATTACACATAAAATTAAAGAAACAATGATTAATTACATCATTTGATTCATACAGCACGCCACCAAATGCGCCAACAACTGTCTCACATCACGTGATCTCGCAGATTCTGCAAAGAAGTTTGTAGCTATGAACTTTATATCGGCCCAGATCAACCTATCCGGCATTTCCTGTACTGAGCATCCTGGATTTCCTTGACTGAATCTACGTGGCCTTGCTGACTGAACTGACTGACTGACTGAAGTGTAGCTGACCCTGTGTATTTCATTTCAGCTGAACTTCATCTGCCTACTGATTTCCCGCAAAACCCGACAAGACGCAGGTCACACAAGCAGGATCCCGCATAGTGGGGGAGCATTCTGATCTACTGGTAAGTTCCTTCATCCTTGCCTCTAGATTCGGCCATCCAGGTTCGATTCCCGGGCAATGCACGTAGCATTGCAGCTGCATGACTGCTCGGAACAGCGTGAGAGTTCCGGTTAGCATCTTGGTCCACTGGACATGGTGCTTAAACCAAACCGACCAACCGAACCGCATAGTGTAGCCAGACATTTACACGACTGTTAGTTCAGTTGGAATCTCAATGCTAGAAAAGGGATGTTCCCTATCTGCAGTGGGTGTCAATACAATACCTTTAAAATAATCATAATTTACTTACATAGGTTGCAAGCTCTTGAACGTTCTTAGGCTCGTCAGGAACTGAATTGGAAGCATTTTGTTCCACTGGCTTGACTTGTTCTTTTTCTGCCATATTGCTTGCAAGGGTTGAACGTCCGTTTGAAACCTCTCGCTGCACTTACAAATGCAAAACACAAAAAGAATCACAATTTCTGCGTCTAGCCTGTCCCCCTTGTTCTTTTCGCACTTCACAGCGAGCTTCACAGTACGTGCTCATTTTTCATTTTCCTATTCAGCAGCCTACGATCCACGGCTTCTACGAGATGTCAATTTTCAAAGAAAGTATGATCAGCGAATCATCAAGGAAATATCGGCGTATTGCAGCATAATTATACCATTAACTAATTATTTTTGAGACTCATCGATTTTCCTGAAAGCTCGCAACATCAAAAAACAGCATATATTTTCTGCAAAATTATTTTGAAAAGGAAAGCAAAAGAACAATCGAAAAGAGGGTTTGGCATCTCTATGGCGACCAGTTCCATCAGCGAGCATTCTGAACATCCCCCGCGTTCGATGTCTCTCGGACGACGAAGATTCTACGTCATCCGGCCAATCACGTTCAAGGTCAGCGGGGGCTCGGCTGCGGTTATGGAACGTGATTGGCCGGACGGCGTAGAATCTTCGCCGTCCGAGAGACATCGAACGCGGAGATCATTCGCCGTTCAGAAGCGTAACAGGCGCGTCATAAATGGAACAGATATTGCGTGCGTTCGGCATCCGGATAATCAGGGATAATTTTCCGGGTCACCGGGATCATTCGGCGTTTTAGGCATAGGCGGCGGAACGGGGAGGGCACCGGGGCACCGTGCCCCCCTTTGATTTTGGCATTTTAACATTAGCCCTATGGGCGTTGCATGGAAAGAATGGCACCAAAAGTCGGCAGTGCCCCCCTTTAATTGAAGGTGTTCCGCCGCTACTGGTTTTAGGGCAGGTTATAGGCCGATACCGTGCACAACGGGCATGGCAATGAGCAAAACAGTCATTCATGAAGCAAAAGCAATATCAAAATGTGACTGATTGCATCAATAGTCTCTGCAATACCAAAAATAACCAGTGATCCCGGAAAATTATCCCTAGTCATCCGGATGTCGAACGCAATGCAAGGCAAAATCTGGGGCAAAATTATTTATATACACTGTGGGCAAAATTATTTATAGGGCAAAATAACCCAAAGGCGCTGGTGCTAGAAGTTGGCTAGTGACGACCCCAACAAGATTTTTACAGATACCAGTCCGTTTTGACCCCAATTCCAATCCGTTTTGATTTGAATTGATTTAAATTGGGGTTATTGACAAGAAACTTGTTCTACAGCATTGAAAAACAAATTTTCCTGATGGCTGCAGTGTGATTTTCCTATTTGATTTTATTGAATGCTGGAGTACAGTTGGATTGCTGTTGAGCACTCACACAATCTTTAATTTCTTCAAGTTATATTCAGTCACTACAGTGAACCACAGGCCTCTTCCTTGTTTGAGCATTCTCCCATCAACATTGCAGTCAATTTAAGTTTCCTGCCCCAAGTTTTCAAGTAAAGGGATTCTTCTTTTGAGCTTTCACAATGCCAGAACCAGTGGAAACAACAGAGCTGAGAGTAGGTGAAGAAGATATTCCTGTTTACGTCATGACATTCAAAGACGTAAAAAATGTCAAGGAGCTGAAACCCATGCTCATGGATGGACGGATCAATGTTGCACTGGTGTCTGCCAAAAAGGTATGGTATGACTTATTTTATACTTTATCTTTGTTTAAATATCTTCCTTGTCAAACTGCACAAATGATTAGTCCTCTTTTTATTCATACTTTAGCTTGTTTGATGGCCAATATCATATCACCTCATGCTTTCTCATTCTGCTGTGCATATCTTTGAAGATCATTATTTATTGTATGCTTTGGAAGCATGTAGTTCTTCAAAGTAGTGAACAATTGTGAACAAGATTAAGGAAAATTTCAAGCTGAATGCTTCATTTTTGGTCCCACTGGTAAGAACGTGTAATTATGTTGTTGATTTTGCCTAATTTCAAATCAATGTTGATTGGCTGGATCCTCTATTCCAGATTGTCTCACCATTCCAGCTGTTGGTCGCCACCAACATTGCTCTACACAATCAGCTGGATGGCACTATGAAAACCAAAAACATAAACTCTGAGATCATATTCTCACTGTCCCCTGGAAAACAGGTAACTATTGACAAGCACCTGAAAATCAAGCATGCTCTTGTTTTTATCAGTTTCCAGAGCATCTGTTTTTCCTAAATACCTACTTTCATTGTATATAGCAATTACAGCATTATGGCAGTTACCTGGAAGCCCGTGCTTGCTGCACGCCGATCACATCTCCGCCCTCTCGGTAGATCTCTGACGCGTTCCGCCTGCCGAGAATTGACGCCGATCATCTCCGGCTTGGCAGATCTGTTGTGAATTGATGCAGACATCATCTCCCTCCCGGCACTCGGCAGATATGCTTTGAATTGATGCCGAGACCAAGGCCGAGACAACCTCCGTCTCTGCAGATGTGTGGTGAATTGATGCCGATTGTCCCCCTTTCGGCAGATCTCTGAGGCGTTCCGCTCGTTCGGCGCCGGGCCCGGCGACACGGCGGTGGCGGCCGTGGCCGTGTCGGACCGCTCGCGCCTGGAGCCGCTGTGTCAGGCGCTGCAGGGCACCGCCGTGCCGCCCGAGCAGCTGGCCCAGCTCGGTGACGAACAGGCCGTCATCAAACAGTACGCCGTCACCGAACAGGAGCTGACCGTCGGCACCCTCGAACAGGCCGTGGTCAGCCGGATCGCCTCCCGCTGCGCTACGTGACCGGAGTTTGCGAGTGCTTCGCCGCTGGGGACTTGTGCTAATCTCCGGACCGAGCGTGGTGCCGCCATGCAGCGTGTGTTCTCACGCGCCTCTCTGGTGTTTGCGCAACAGCCTTCTCGTTGAGTGCGGACGTGATGTTGGTTCTGAAGCGTGATCATGGTGTGAAGAAGACCGTTTTAGTTGTTCGTTGTTTGTATGAATTGCCAAGGCACCAGGCGCTTTCGGCGCTAGGGTGCACCCCTTAGCTGTTGGTGATGCCACGTCTCTCACTGTGGCGTACGCTTGTGAACGCAGTTATGCTCAGTGGGTTCACTGAACATGGACTGCCTTGTCGTTTCGTATTGAATTGAAAATGTACAGTTTTCCACAGGGCGTATTTTATTTACATCAATATCTACACTTGTGAAGACGAATCCCGCATTACATCACGGTCTTGAAGCAACATCGCACACCTAACCGCACACAATCACCATTGATAGCATGCCGACGCGCAGTTTTTTTCTTCTGCTGGATACGGTATTTTTCCCCGCTACTGGCACAGCTCACGAAGCTGTTCAGACCGTTCGAATGGCTGTGCACGGTTACTCGTAACGCCGGCACCGATTGGTTGTGTCCCGTGACCTCACGTAGTCCAACCCACGCCAGTCCCTGGAACCTGCGGAGGGCGGTCAGAACAGTAGTCTGAGGCAGTCGGAAACGGGGTCGATCGAGTGGTAGGGACCGAGTGGTCAGCGCTAGGTAGTAATCATAGTATCACTCAGGTGAAACACGGTGCGAAACATCATCCAAAAACGGTTAAGAATTCAGCTAGATGTTAAGTCAGGTCATGAGTCACAGAGACTCTCCGATGAAAAATACGTAGCTTTTTCGGTTTCTTTGTAGTTCGACTTACCGATGATAAAAGGCCAGCAGTTTTTCAACGGGATCAAATCTGACAACGACCCGATGTCAATTCGTCTCCAACATCATTCGATTCATCATTGGTCTGATCTGAGTAGACTGATGCTGATACTGATCCGGACCTGCGGAGGAAATCGACGTCTCAAGTGTTGCAGGGAGGCCCATGCGGTATGATATTCTCGAGAGTAATAAGCGCTAGAAAGCAATCGGTGGTGAATACCTCACGTGGAACGGCGTCGAAACATATACAAAGGGGTAAAGCATTTATCTAGAATAGATGTTGAGTCTGGCCACGAGTGAGTAGGCCAGAACAAACAAGTCTCGAGGCAAGAGTAGATAATCGTCTTACCAATGATTGAAAGCCATCCACTTCGTTCTCCAATGGGATTAGACTCCACAACGTGAAGCCGGGTCGCCTCGGTTCAGACTCAATGATCTTGTGACTATAACGGAGCAAGGCCTGCGGAGGGAAACACAGTGTATGTTAGAATATGCCGCAAGGTCAATACGGTTTGAGCTCCCGCGGATGCTATTGTCAGCGCGAAATGCTAATCAGTGGCTAGAACCTCAGGTGAAACACGGTGCGAAACATCATATGCAAACGAGAGGGTGTCAGACTATGCTCAAGATGAGTTTGGCGATTTCTCAGAGCTAACCCAGTCATAGGAAACAAGAAGGAAGGCAAGGTTTTCTCATCTGCGCATGCTGACTCACTGTTGGTATCCTAAGAGCGCCAGATTCATTCCCCGATAGGACTGAAGTCCGCATTACGATGCCGGGACTCATCTCGGATCCTCATCGCTCCACGATCAGATCAGAGTCGGTAATCGATCTAAGCCACCTGCGGCGAGGACATATCAGTCAGAGGTCGCAGGGAGGCCAATGTGGTCTGAAACGAGGAAATTACTGTCAGCGCTAAACAGTAATCAGGGGTGAAAACCTCAGGTGAAACACGGTGCGAAACATCATATCGAAAAGGGAGTGTCCTTTTGTCCAGTTACATATTGGTAGTTTGGATCACGATCAGTGGGCCTCCTCAACGGAACGGCGAAGCTCAGAGACTTACGGTTGGCATTTGAAGAGCGAAGAACGGCAATTTCGTTTCCTGGACTCCGGGAACCACGCTACATCAAGTCGTTTCTATGCGGCATTGATAGCGATTCAGGCCTGCGAAAGGGAACATATTCTCTCAGGTTTCGGAGGACATCCGATATCATGTGAAATCCTCTCGAGCAGTCAGCGCTAGAGATTAATCAGTGGTGAAAACCTCAGGTGAAACACGGTGCGAAACATCATACCAGAAAACTAATGTCCTTAGTCCTCCTTGATATCGGGGTAAAAGGTAAACAAAGGGATTGCTACACGGCCCGGGTGGCGAGCATATGTGCGGACTTACCGTCGATATTAGTGGTGTTCCGCCTGTGGGGGGAAGTTACGGACTTCACGCTACCACACCAGACTACTTCGAAGCGATCCCATACTTGCTATCCGGCTAGCTGGAACTGGTAGCCGACCCAGTTCTGCAGAGAGAAAACTGTCTCAGGACGTATGACAGGGAGACCAGTGTTCTCAGAAAATCTTAGAGTAGTCAGCGCTAGAGATTAATCAGTGGTAAAAACCTCAGGTGAAACACGGTGCGAAACATCATATATAGAAAACACACACCTATCAGGCATCAAATGTGCTGACACACCCTGACTTACCCGTAACGCAGGATGACGGCCGCTTCATCTGATGCCAGTCAGACAGCTCAGATGAGGAGAGTAGACTGAGGGCTTCCCACGGCGGCCCCGCCAGTACCTTACGAGGGCGGACAGATCGGTCAGGCAGAACTGCAAACGGCCGAACAGCATGGAGGACATCAACTCGAACAGTGTGGGACGGGATGTCCGACCGACCAACAAAAGCCGAAAAAACTGCTCACAGCTGAAGATAGTCACCCAATATCTCGCATCGTAGAAGCCCCCCCCCCCCCCATTAAAGAAAAGTCCTGGAGGTATTTGAACCAGCAGTCCAATTAATGCTCCCACCAGTAATTCCACGTACCTGCTGAGCAACATTTCGTCCCTAGCGTGCTGAAGGAGAGTTCCACCAACCTCACCCGCGCAGTCAGGAACCACTTCTACAGTGCTCTCCGTTTGCAGCGAGCCACACCAGCCTAGTCATGTACGTGACGGTATTATTTGACACTTGTGAATATGATGACACGAGACAGCCGAGCGAACACAAACACACACACACAGTACACACACACACAGGCACACACTGGGGCCGCGACAGTCGCCCCGTTTCCACTGTCTGGCCTCGCTCTACCTGTACAGACAGACATGCCCAGCCGGCCCCTCCTGTACATTGACCACGAGCAGCAGGGCGGCACTCCCAGCCCCACCAGCTAAGGGCTGTCTTGCCCCGCTCATTCGGTTCATGGCCAGCGCACATTACATATCTACTACACACAAAATGATCTCAAGCACACGCCACTAACACTCCACACGCAGTCTCCTTCCGCGGCCGATACACACACAGGACACACGCCATCCCCGGGGCGCGCCGCCTGCCTAGAATGCGTAGCGCGTTCGGATGTCCTCGAGTTTCTTGGAGACCTCGCTGGCGGTGCGGTCCAGGTCCTCGGCAATCGACTTCTGCTTGCTCATGTCGATCGTGTTGTACTGTTCGCACATGTCGCCGTCCAGTACGTTCTGTGGGACACGGCGCCGAGGTTAGAGATCGGAAATTAGATAGCAGGCTGCCTTTGTCACATTGTGACGATGGAAATGAAGATGCATAGTGAGCACTGCATACACAGACACGCTAAACTATCGGCATGACCAGCTGCCATTATCATATTTGGTAGCAGGGACCCATCTGAACAAAAAAGAAAATGCACTCGAAGTAGAGTACTTAAGTAATTATCTGCATTCTGTTTTATGACTTTAAGCTACTTCATATTCCGGGTAAAAACACAAAATGCTTAGAAGCTAAGTCCTAGAGCCCGCTCCGACCATACCGCCGCCATCCCGGCGTCCTCACCTTGACCGGGAAGTAGTAGCTGCGGAACGAGAGGTGGTCTCGGCCGCACAGAGGCCCGTTCTCCGAGCGCATGTGCATCTCCAGATGCTGGAAAAAGTCCATGTCCTCGTGCGATGTAAAGGGCACCAGCACACCAATGGTGCCCGATATGGTGGTGTACACCAGCGACTCGCTGCCGCCCGGGATTAGCGTCGCTTTCTGTAGTGGGAGAAGGGGTAAGCTTGTCAGACGAGGCACGGCAGAGCGAGGGCGGGGACAAATGTGTGATCAGTAGACCGAAAGTCGGGCTATGACCACGTAGGCTAAAAACATTTTCATCCACCGAAATCGCTTCTTAAATTAGAGGAAAGTTTTCGTCAAGCCATACAACTGTTCGTAGTGAATGATTAAATGCGTTGTCCCATTTATAACCAGTCATACCGAATAGCGAGAACCAGAGCCGCGGGAAGCGTACGCCCGTGTTGACTTCTATTCACAACCAGACACCAAAGTCCCCCTATAAGCCCATGCACCATCGATTCTCCTAGCGCCGGTCTCACCTGTAGGGAAAGCGCCGTCTCGCCGAGGTGGAACTGGCAGAGTACGTCAGCCTTCTGTGAGGCGCCGCCGAGCAGTCCGCGGTCCCAGAGCGCCTTGTTACCCGTCGGGTCCTCGTCCACCTCGTCACTGGTGCCCGTGGGCAGACGCAGCTGGACAGGAGAGGGGGAGAAAGAGTCAGCGGAGGACGCGCATGCCGAACCACATCAGACGTCAGACCATATTCCACAGAAAACAGAGTAAGAGAGACGGAGGCCAAGCAGCACCCTTCATTAGGCATTACTTTAGGCAGTGGTAAAAAATCCCGTGAATTTCTATACATCGCCCAGCAAGTCGACGTCGACATGTTCATAACTGTTGTTCAGCGTGACAACTAACGACATTTTAAGCACTAAGACTATAACTACTGTTCCATAACTCGTCCAATCACGCTGCCCCATAAAACACCATCCATCCGTCCACCATTCTCCTCTCCGTCCCACCCCACTCACCACAGACACATTTCCGAACTTGTCGGCAGCTGCCACGGTATCGTAATCCAACAGGCACGTGGCCGTCACCCAGCGCTGGTTGGTGTCGTCCGCGAACAGGATCAGCTGGTTCTCCTGCCGCTTGTAGCGCACGTAGAACACAGACTCCTGGACGTCGGCGATGTACACGCGCTGGCCCAGTGCCTGGATGCTGACGATGTGATGCGGAGCGCTCTGTACGGAGAGAGGGGTGGGAGTTAGATCGGTGGCAGGGGTAAAGGAGAGAGAAGAGAGAGGAGACGAGAGTCAGCGCTAGAGATTAATCAGTGGTGAAAACCTCAGGTGAAACACGGTGCGAAACATCAAACTAAAATTGCGTAAATAGCAAAGACCAGGCCCAAAATTGCCAAAAGGACATCTGCACCTCCATCTGCTCACCGTACCTTGTTTTCACACTTCCTCAGCATCTTCTTTTTGCCGAGGTCGTAGATGCGGAGTAGGCGTCCGACGCTGATGAGCACGCGGCCCTGGTAGGGACAGATGGCCGTGGGAATATCCTCCACCTCGGTCCGGTGCACCAGCTGCAGCGACGTGCCCTCGTTCACCAGTCTGGGCGCCAGGACACGGGTGGGGAGTTAGAGGCGCTGAGAGGGCAAATAAAGGCACCAGGGTCCAATCTTACCAATGCCGTGAATGCGCATTCACGGCATTTTATAACATTCAGAACTAGTCCACATTCACTTATTCATTCGCTCAGGCAACATTCATAAGCATTCACGCTATCAAAATCATTGGAAAAGATTAGCTGGATGTAAATAAAAATGATATATTTGAAATCAAAGCCGTAAACTCCAGCCAGTGCTGCCAAATCCTATTACAACATTGGTAAGATTGGGCCCTGGTGCCCACTAATCAGCTTTACTGAAAAATGTGAGCATTGGACTACCAAAATATGTAACACCAATACAAACATTCAGTGTAGGACAAGATGTTGACTAATTTAGCGGCTGAATTTGTGTTCCGACGGTGTCCGTCCGGCCGGTGTCGTGCCGTCACACCGGGCCGGCCGTCCTGACGGTGATCTCTCTATAGCGGACGTTCAAATTGGACCCGGCCGAGGCGTGGGCCGGGCACAGAGTGCCGTCCGCAAAAAAAAAACAACTATCTAATCACATACGAGATCACATGACACGAAAAATCTCCACAGAACCGGAAAGTAGCGCATCTCTCAAATCGAGCAAGCTATGTAACTCAAGGACGAAAGCCAATCAGACACCTGGCGAGCGGCAGTGACTACCTGCGTCGGCCAGCCCACCTCTTGGGGACTCACTTGTAGCAGTAGATGTAGCCGCAGTCGACCTGTTTGGGACTGAGCTGGTAGTCCTTGGCCACGCCGACCAGTACGTACTGGTCTGACTCGGACTGGCTGGCAAACTTCACCAGCGCGATACTGTGGAAGGAGAGAGCGCAGATTCGGTCAGTTGGCGTATAACTAGGATATACTATACATAGGGAGGTGAACAGTATCTGTCTGTCCGCCTGTCTATCTGTCTGTCCGCCTGTCTATCTGTCTGTCCGCCTGTCTATCTGTCTGTCCGCCTGTCTATCTGTCTGTCCGCCTGTCTATCTGTCTGTCCGCCTGTCTATCTGTCTGTCCGCCTGTCTATCTGTCTGTCCGCCTGTCTATCTGTCTGTCCGCCTGTCTATCTGTCTGTCCGCCTGTCTATCTGTCTGTCCGCCTGTCTATCTGTCTGTCCGCCTGTCTATCTGTCTGTCCGCCTGTCTATCTGTCTGTCCGCCTGTCTATCTGTCTGTCCGCCTGTCTATCTGTCTGTCCGCCTGTCTATCTGTCTGTCCGCCTGTCTATCTGTCTGTCCGCCTGTCTATCTGTCTGTCCGCCTGTCTATCTGTCTGTCCGCCTGTCTATCTGTCTGTCCGCCTGTCTATCTGTCTGTCCGCCTGTCTATCTGTCTGTCCGCCTGTCTATCTGTCTGTCCGCCTGTCTATCTGTCTGTCCGCCTGTCTATCTGTCTGTCCGCCTGTCTATCTGTCTGTCCGCCTGTCTATCTGTCTGTCCGCCTGTCTATCTGTCTGTCCGCCTGTCTATCTGTCTGTCCGCCTGTCTATCTGTCTGTCCGCCTGTCTATCTGTCTGTCCGCCTGTCTATCTGTCTGTCCGCCTGTCTATCTGTCTGTCCGCCTGTCTATCTGTCTGTCCGCCTGTCTATCTGTCTGTCCGCCTGTCTATCTGTCTGTCCGCCTGTCTATCTGTCTGTCCGCCTGTCTATCTGTCTGTCCGCCTGTCTATCTGTCTGTCCGCCTGTCTATCTGTCTGTCCGCCTGTCTATCTGTCTGTCCGCCTGTCTATCTGTCTGTCCGCCTGTCTGTCTGTCCGCCTGTCTGTCTGTCTGTCTGTCTGTCTGTCTGTCTGTCTGTCTGTCTGTCCGCCCGTCTGTCCGCCCGTCTGTCCGCCCGTCTGTCTGTCTGTCTGTCTGTCTGTCTGTCTGTCTGTCTGTCTGTCTGTCTGTCTGTCTGTCTGTCTGTCTGTCTGTCTGTCTGTCTGTCTGTCTGTCTGTCTGTCTGTCCGCCCGTCTGTCCGCCCGTCTGTCTGTCTGTCTGTCTGTCTGTCTGTCTGTCTGTCTGTCTGTCTGTCCGCCCGTCTGTCCGCCCGTCTGTCTGTCTGTCTGTCTGTCTGTCTGTCTGTCTGTCTGTCTGTCCGCCTGTCTGTCTGTCTGTCTGTCTGTCTGTCTGTCTGTCTGTCTGTCTGTCTGCCTGCCTGTCTGTCTGTCTGTTTGTCTGTCTGTCCGCCCGTCTGCCCGCCTGTTTGTCTGTCTGTCCGCCTGTCTGTCTGTCTGTCTGTCTGTCTGTCTGTTAGTTAGTTTGTTAGTTAATTGGGGCTTTAGGGCGCGCCGACTACTTAGGTCATTTTGCGCCCATAACGTCGTTTTAATAAAACAAGTGTGTCAAAAGAGAGAACCTCTAGATACGAAGACTAAAAAGTAAAAGACTCGATATAAAAGAGCAAGGTAAGATAAAGCAGCGCAAGAGTGTCGTCCTAGACAACTGACTAGATGTAAGGACTAGAGAGGACTAGTTGGATTTAATGTCAGGTCGAGTAAATCACTTGGAAGTTGATCGAACGGATAAAGGAGAAAATGTTGCCGGATAAAACCCAGGGTGAGTCGTCACCCAGAAGGTGGCGGATAGTGGTATCCGGAGCGATGCGCCCGAGATAGCGTGTCCGGTTCGGTTCAGCGAGAGGACAAGATAAAAGCACGTGAGAGACAGTGAGAGGCACGGCACACCGACTGCATGTGGGTTGTTCCTCTCCACGGAGGAGATAGCCATGAGTCGCGTACGTATGACCAATACGTAATCTGCAGAGGGCCACTTCCTGGTGCCTGTTGCTTTGGAAGCAAGACTGCCAGGGCTCCAAGGTAGGCTTTACGCTCCGCAGCTTCCCAGATCCTTGGAGATGCCACTCTGCCTGCCAGCTTGACATCGTGAAGGTTTGGATGGCTGGGTAAAAATCACGAGCCGGCAGGGGCAAACGCCGAAGGCATGGAGCCGCGGCCGCGCGTCTCGCGGCCGCGTCGGCGAGCTCATTGCCAGTTACACCCACATGGCTTGGAATCCAGCAAAACTTAATAGTTTTGCCTGACTGCTCCACCGACGTGAGCCGAGATAAAATGTCTTGGACTATCGGATTGTCTGGGTTAAACCTCCGTATAGCCAGCAGGCTGCTGAGAGAATCCGATAAAATGAGGTAAGACAAGTTGTCAGACACCTCGATAAAACACAACGCCTTCTCGATTGCAACGAGCTCGGATGAGAAAACGGAGGCAGAGGAAGGCAATGAAAAAGTGCGCGTGTCGCGACCAGCCACGAAAGCGCAGCCGACGCCGTCCTCCGTTTTCGAGCCGTCTGTAAACACCGAGATAAAACCGTCGTATGACGCAATGTGTTCCAATGTCCGTGCTCGTTGCACACATGGCGGCAGGTCGTCCTTCTTGACCTCAGAGAGCGTGAGGTCTACTTGCGCTGGAGCGTATTTCCATGGCGGAGAGGGCGTTCCCCACGTACGTCGCACTTCACGGAACTCTATGTTGACTGTAGAAAAGAGCTCTTTTATGCGCAATCCGAAGGAGACCGATTGTCGCACTCTGTCAAGACGATTAAAATCAGGAGAAAAGACGTACGGATACGTCGGATGTCCTGGGAACTGGCGGAGTTTCAGTGCGTACCTCATCCCCAGCATCTGACGGCGGAGAGATAGTGGCGGTTCGTGTGCCTCGGCGAGGAGGCTGCTCTTGGGCGACGTGCGGAATGCACCTGTGGCAACACGTAGCGCCGCGTGGTGCACGGAGTCAAGAGCCTTTTTACTGGATTCGCTGGCAGAGTCGTAAACAAAGCATGCGTAATCCAGTTTCGATCGGACGATCGACCGATATAAAAGAAGGAGCGTCCTGCGGTCCGCGCCATAAGATGTGCGGGCGACACATTTTAAAACGTTCAGGGATTTAAAACATCGTTCCCGAAGCGTTCTAAAATGTTCTCTATACGTCAAACGACTGTCAAAAAATATCCCAAGAAACTTCGCCACCGGCCGAGTAGGAATCACCTGTCCACGGAGCTTGATTCCCAAGGCTAAGTCGTCGCAGCGGCGGCGGCAAAAGTGCATAGCGACGGTCTTCGTTGTTGAAAAACGAAGGCCGTTGTCGTCGCTCCACCTCTCTAGACGGGTTACAGCGAGCTGCAACTGTCTGGCAACGTGACGGGCGGTCGTGGCAGAAAGCCAGATCGCGAAATCATCGACAAATAGCGATCTGCCGATGGATGGTGCAAGTTTGTCGCCAATATCATTGATCGCCACAGCGAACAGCGCCACACTGAGAACTCCGCCTTGGGGAACTCCGTTCTCTTGCGTAAAACTGCTCGAAAGACAACTGCCAACACGGACTTTGAACCGACGACCCGATAAAAAGTTCTTGATAAAGAGGCCCATCCGGCCGCGTATGCCGTACTTGTGTACTTTGGAAAGTATTCTGTGTCGTAACACTGTATCATAGGCCGCCTCAATATCAAAGAACAATGCTCCAAGGTGCTTCTTTGCAGTAAAACAGGTGCGTATCTCGGTGTCGAGGGCTAAAATGTGGTCAACAGGGCTGCGGTGCTTTCTAAAACCGCACTGGGCGTTTGTAAAAACACCGTGATGTTCCAGAAACCAGCTAAGACGCACATTGACCATCTTCTCCATCAGCTTTGAAAGCGATGATGTGAGAGAGATGGGCCGATAGTGGAGAGGGTCATGTCCCGACTTGCCAGCCTTCAAGATAGGAATGATAGTGGCTTCCCGCCAGGTCTCAGGGAAAGTGCCAGTCTCCCAAAGCGAATTGAAAGTTGCTAGCAGCGCCTCGAGGGCAACCGCCGGGAGATGACGGAGCATGTCGTTGTGGACAGCATCCGGACCTTCTGAGACGCTGCGCAACGAGGGGAGTCTGCAGCGGCACCTGGCGAGCAGGTACGCTGTGGTGAACCGCCAGAAGCACACCTCCATGGGCAATGGTAGGGGTGTCCAGGTCTCTTCTAAAAACAGAGTAGCCCTTGATGGCAAAGGTAACGTTTGGCGCTAGCTTGGTCTCCTGGAGACCTAAAACAAGGGGTGTGCGCCAACGGATAAGAGACTGTAGGTCCTGGTAGTTGGCCCGGAGGCCTCTACAGTTCCACTGTAGAATAAAAGGCGTGGTTAAAAAGGCGCAAAAAGGGCGCGTATAACATGAGGCAAAGGCGCACACAGATACCTGACTGACCACAAAAAAGGTAAAAAGCACCGAGAGAAATGCACCTGGTAAAAAAGCGCAATAGCGCGAAAAAGATGATGATGATGATGATGATGATGATATTTATTGAACAGAAAGTACTGGAACAAAAGAGTAAATCGGAGATTGGTGCAGAAGCTCAAGGCTTAATTCGGGGCACCTCTCTCCGTGCACACTCATTCACAAACATACAAGCTTACGTGCAGACTCGTACCTATGCTTTACACTATACACATACATACAAACACACACTCTTAATCACTTGTACTGGCACGCGCACACGTAACAGTTCTTGGCGTATCAGGTAATTGTTGTGTACTATTATTAGCGTCACGTGCATACATGCACTCACACACGCGCGCTCACACACACTCACACATCGCATTTTCAAACAGTTACACTACACTCCATCATACGCATCATACATTCACACACAATCAGTCATTAATGTCTCGCGTTCATTGCACATCAGCGACCGCCGCACGAGGAGGGACACCCGCCCACAGCGCCCCGGAACAGCCGCCGGGAGCCGCCGCCCCACGCGCCCGAGAGGAGTTTTGGTGATCAAAATCTGTGGGAATTAATTATGTATTTCTGGAAACAGCTTGCCACCTCTCGTCCGCTGCCCGGGT